TAGTGCCGACGCACCTGCCTGGGAGCCCTGCACAGATGCAGCAAACAGCCCAAGTCCGGAGACTCAGGCCGTGCCTAACTGCAAAGGGCCCAGGCCCAGGGTCTGGGACCCAACCGGAAGCTACTGGAAGCTTCCAGCCAGGCCACACGCAGCATCCAGGAGGCTGCCACTTCCACAAAAGGTGTGAGGCAGCCCAGGCAAGGCATTCTGGCCAGTGCTGGCAATGCGGAAGTGCTGCTGCGCTGCTGCCAAGGGCGCTGACGGGGCGCATAGAGGTGAAGTGGGGCGCTGCAGGGCAGCGGGGCGCAGGCGGCCATAGCCGGGTTGCTGGGCGCCGAGGGGGTAATGTGGGCGATCGAGTGGTCTTCAGGGAAGGAGGCGCAGTGTGGGGTTATCGAGGTCTGATTGAGGGTGACGAGATACGTACCTGGTGCATGGGGAGAGGTCGGCTATGGAGTTGACAGTCATGTACATTGGTCTTCGAGAGTCGAAGTGAGCCTGTTGCGCGAACCAGCTGTAGGTAGGATAGTTGGGCAGAGTAGGTTGGGCGCTGGGCACCAGACAGAGAGGAGCGACTTTGGATTCTGTGTTGGTGTGGCCTACGGGCTTGGACATTGGCTCATTACTTCATTGTATTGCTCTATATGGATGGTTTCTCTGTGCATTTTGTACTCTCTGCTTGGATACGACTACCTGGACATCTGTGTGATTTTGCAACTTGGTTTTCTGTATAATCGTTCACAACTTCACACTCATATTCCTGTCTCTTATACACATCTAGATGTGTATAAGAGACAGGTGTGTGTGTGTGTGTGCGCGTGATTGTGTGTGTGTGTGTGTGTGTGTGTGTGTGTGTGTGTGTGTTGTGTGTCTGTGTGTGTGTGTGTGCGTGTCTTTTTTTCCTTTTTTTGATTGTTTTTATGTTTCTGATTTTTTTTTAAATACAAAGTTAAAAAAAGAAAAAAGAAAATGATGTTGTACATCTTTGAAAGATCTACAACCCTATACTTTTTATTTGTTTCCCTGATTTTGTTTTAACCCTGAAAAAATCTCTGTGAAACCAAAACAAAAAAAACAACAAAAAAAAGAAACACTCTTTTCATCTTTTGTTGTTTTTTTTTGTCATTGTGTTTATGTTTTTTTTTTTATAAATATAGTCAAAGCTCAAAAAATCAAAATGAAAAATTAAAAATATGGGGTTGTAGACCTTAAACATATCTACAACCTCATCGATATATATATCTAGGCTACCAGAGTGCCCCGGGGTCACTTGCCCGGCCGGGCCAAAATATATATATCCCTCTCTGCCTACGGTTTACCGGGCAGTTCTATTTGACGATATATATAGGGTTCAACCTCCTGATGAGTCGGTGAAACTCCGACGAAACAGTTTGTCACAGCCCCTCGTTTGTTGTCCTCTTCTCTCTCTCTGC